AACGAGAGAAACATGAAGGCAATTTCTTGCGGCACGGAATAGCCCCCATAACATTTCGATGGCATGAGTATTCAAGGAGAAACTCAATGAAGTTGAAAATAATTAGAGAATCCTAATATAAATTCTTCACCTTGTCAATTGCAATTAGGTTATGTATTCCAAAAGAGTAGATTAAAAAATACTCAACTTCATTTATATGATCCTTATTGGTTGTTTTGTACTCACCACTGCAATTTGTAGTACATTTTGTAGACATGAGGAAAAACAAATAAAAGCCTTATATAGCATGGTGACAGGAACTTCCAGATCTTCCAATTAATCCTCAGCAATGCCTCATAGACCAAAACTTCACAATCCTAGGAAACCTAAAAGGATGATAAATAACTCACTCCGGAGTGAGAAGCCTTGGGAAAGCCTGGTAAAGGAAGGAGACTATTTGCTCCGCTTCCTGAAGGAAGAAGGGCTGATGATTGACCTCCCGTAGTTGCAGAAGTCGTGCCACAAGAACCTGATGCAGAGGAAAGGGCTGACGGGGAGGGGGAAGAGATGAGACTTCGTCCAGAAATAGTGCCTCTCCAGGCACTAGCACTCGAACCAGAGCAGCTGGGAGCATGACCTGAGCTAGGATAACGAGAATGTAATCCCGAGTGTAACGAAGGGACCTGATAAAGAATCAAAGTAGAAGAAATTTGAAATCTGAATAATGCGTAAAAATAAAACACTATACTAATAGGCAAAGCAAATTATGCGAAGAAAAGTTGGGTTTCGAGGAATCTATTGTTTCATAATGGTTGAGCTTACTTCCATTTCGAGTTAAAGTCTTTTGTGAATAGATTCGAAGGCCGATTCCACCTGAAGACGACTGATTTCTCTTGACCAGCTGTCGATTGGCTTTACTGGAACATTCATGTTGACGCTGTTTCCTAGGTAATCTCCTACGATTCCGGTGAAAAGATGCTAAGCTTTCGTCCGTCATATGACGAGGAATCGAAGGAGATTACCTCGGAAACAGCGTCAGC